AAGAGAAGGAAGAAGCTCCTCCTCGACCACCGACGGGACTTCGTCGGACCATCGCCGGAACTTCGCCGGACTACCGCCGGAGCCTCGCCGGAGCTTCACCGGACCACCGCCGGAGCTTCACCGGACAACCGCCGGAACTTTGCCAGACCACCACCTGAGGCCCTCACCTTTGCCATATGCCTTCACCTTCACCTGAGGCCTTCACATTCATCAAAGGCCCTCACCAACACCTGAGGCCCCGGACCACCGCCGGAGCTTCACCGGACCACCGCCGGAACTTTGCCAGACCACCACCTGAGGCCCTCACCTTTGCCATATGCCTTCACCTTCACCTGAGGCCTTCACATTCATCAAAGGCCCTCACCAACACCTGAGGCCTTCACCTTCACTTGAGGCCATCACCTTCGTTAGAGGCCCTCACCCTCACCTAAGGCCCTCACCTTCACTAAAGGCCCTCACCTTCACCTTGAGGCCCTCTCCTCCGTCGGACTACCGCCTGACGCCGTTGCTTCGCCGGAGCACCATCTGAGGCCTGGACTTCTGCTGGGCCACTACCTGACGCCCAGAGTTCTACCAGAGTACTGCCTCACTACAAAGATCCTTCAGATCCCGGTCTCCTGTCGACTACGGTCCTCCCGACCTCCGTCGCCTACTATGGTCCATCCGACCTCTATCAACAGACAACGGTCTTTCTGACCCCAGTCTCCTGCCGACTAACGTCCTTCTAACCTCTGTCGCCTACTATGGTCCATCCAACCTCTATCAACAGACAACGATCTTTCTGACCCCGGTCTCCTGCCGACTACGGTCCTTTCGACCTCCATCGCCTACTATGGTTCTTCCGATCTCCATCAATAGACAACGGTCTTTCTGACCCCGGTCTCCTGCCGACTACGGTCCTTCAGACCTCCGTCGCCTACTATGGTCCTTCCGACCTCCATCACCAGACAACGGTCTTTCTGACCCTGGTCTCCTGCCGACTACGGACCTTCAGACCTCCGTCGCCTACTATGGTCCTTCCGACCTCCATCACCAGACAACGATCTTTCTAACCCAGGTCTTCTGCCGACTACGGTCCTTACGACCTCCGTCGCCTACTACGGTCCGTCCGACCTCCATCAACAGACAATGGTCTTTCTGACCCTGGTCTCCTGCCGACTACGGTCCTTCCGAGCAAACAAACATGTATATGTAACTCCTATCATGTAATGCAATCTATATGATGTATATTTGCTACATCAATACAAGGCCTTATCCAAAGGAAGGGCCTCATTTGTAATCGACTGCAAATACTAGTGGATTCATTCAAACTGGGCCAGGCCCCGTGGGTTTTCCCCCTTTTCAGGGGTTTTCCATGTAAAAGCTCTGGTGTCTCTTATAAATGTTTCACCCCCTCTCTTATCTGCTTGTGTGCTGGATCTTCGTACAATGCTAAGATGTTAAACCATATATTTCTCTACCGCCACGAATATTCTAGGACGCAACATGACTGATGAATAGAACTGATAAAACTAGCATTAAAATTGATACAACATGACATAGTGTATAACATATACTTATAAATTTTATATAGACATATTGATATGATAGTGATATGATATACTGATAGACCGGTATATATGAAAAAAAAAAGTGGAAGGGGGTGGCAATCACCCCGATGTTTTAACAAGCGTAAAGAAGAAGAAGAAGAAGAAGAAGAAGAAGAAGAAATTTAAAAAAAATAAAGTGGAAGGGGGGGGCAACTCCCCGTTGTTTTAATAGTTCCCTGCGCGTCAATACAGCCATTTCGCTCGAAGCAGCAGTCGGCTAGTTCGATCGCCAAATTGCATTCGAGCCTTATTTTTGGGCCAGAACAATTCAAATCGAACATTTTTTGGGTCCTCAAAATAATTTTTTGACATTTCAGACTCAATTTTGACACTGTTAGAGCCTACCACAGCTTTTATGATCAAGATTTGGTTATTATAAATGTTTTGGAACGTAATTTTCTTACATTTTTTATGATTCGATCAATTTAAATGATGTGACAAGTTCTTTCGAACTTCTGAAGCTTTAACTTTCGAAAATACGAAAGTAACTGATATCATAAAAAAAAACTCTTGAGCAGACACAAATCTCGAGACAAAATTAAGTTGGAAATTGTAAAATTTAAATTAGAGACCATATAAACTCTGATTTCAGGAAACTATAGTTGAACTGAACGTCTCAAAAATACAAACCAAACGACACCAAATTCGACCCAATCCGAGCTCAAATAGATCCAAATCAAACAGTCGTAGCACATTTAAAATGTTCAAACAAAAATTTGGATTACCAAACGGTTTCTAAATGTAACATGCTTATAGTTGAATCGAGCGGCTAGACGAGATAAATCCAACGAGGATAAGATCTCCAAATTTTGACATCATTACAACATTCAAATATCCAACGAACGGTCCACAATAAAGGGAATCAACATCAGTAGTCAATTCAAACCACTCACAAATTACCTTTCATCTCCCTCCAATTTACATACCACTCTCATAAAATTATAAATAGACCCCTCATTCTTCGTTTAGGGGGGTGGGAGGAAGAAGGGACACAAGCATGAAGAGAAGGAATAGTTCTCTTGCCACCAAACTCCTCCTCGACCATCATCCGACTTCAGCCCATCCACCGATTATTGCCAGGCTTTCACCTGGCTACCGACGGACGCCGAATTTATGCACGACCACCAACTAATGCCATATTTCTATTCGGCTACCAACTGATGCTAGAATTCAGCCCATCGCTAGATTTATATCTGACGATGGACTTCCGCCTGTCATCGGATTTCTACATGATGCTGGACTTTCATTAGTTGTCGGACTTCTGCCCAATGCCGGACTTCCACCGGTGGTCGTACTTCTGCCTGTTATCGGACTTCTGTTCATCAACAAACTTTTATCAGACTTCTACCTGATGTCAGACTTCCGTCCGTTGCAGGATTTCTACCCCACGTCGGACTTCCGCCTGTCATCGAACTTCTATCTCACATTGAACTTCCATCCATCCTTGAACTTCTACATGATGTTGGACTTCTGACCTCCGTGGCTCGACGACGGTCCTTCCGACCATCGACATCCTAGTACAGTTTTTTTGTTCTTTGTTTCCTGCCAACTATGGTCGTGCCGATCAAACGAATATATTAATACTAATTCTTCTAATTTATACCATGTAATGCATGCATTCTATATGATATATATTTGTTACGTCAAGCTAAGGCCTTCCCTCCAATGAAGGGCATCCTTTGTAATCAATTACAAAAACTAGTGGATTCATTTAAACTGGTCTAAGCCCAGTGGTTTTTTTTTCCATTCTTAGGATTTTTCATATAAAAATATCTTATATCTCTTATAAATACTGCACCCTCTCTCTTATCTGATTGTGTGCTGGATCTTTGTACGAAGCTAAGACGTTAAACTTTATATTTCTCTACCGCCGCGGATATTTTTGGATGCAATAATATATATATATATATACAACTATCAAGCCAATTGCTTTGAGTGAGGGGGGAGATAGCAAATACAAAAGCAGACAAAAAAAGGCAAACATGAGATTTTTGGTGATTTGATGAAAAAAATCTTTGTCTACTATAGACAGAGGAGAGATATACAGAAAAAAGCTTTAACAAATTGTAAGATATAAATACAAAAAATTATAGTGGCTAACATAAACTTCACAAAAAAGAAGAGAAGGGGTTCAATATAAATCAGAGGGAGAAAAGGCGAATAATTTTATGTTAAGATTAAAAATGGTAACAATATGTTTAAGAGAGAATATATAAGATAAAATATGAAGAAGAAAACAACAAAACACTTTAGAAGAGTTAAATAATGAGAGGAGCAATCCTTGCTTATTTGGACAGTTATCATAAGTAGCCATTGATTGATAAGATTGAAATATAACCTTTGATGCAATTGATGACTATATAGTGATTCAAGGAAGATGCGTTACGAGATTCTGCCATTTGTTAGCCATTCGAAAGATTAAAGGAGATGTAGGATTCAAGAAGGTATTCACAAGCAATAGCCTTACATCAAAGTGTATGTTGTATGTCACATGCCTCAAAAAGTATTTTCATAACACTTCCTAATATAACACATATCAATAAATATAAATATTTTACTATAAAGAAAGAATATAATTAGATTTAAATGAAATATTTTAAATATACATTTATTATGATACTTGAAATAAAATCATAATACTCTCATATATAAATGATAAATAATATATAAATTATTTTTTAAAGATGCACATAAAATATAGTATATGTGAAATTTTTATGCTTTGAAGTTGGGGATAACAGATATTATTATTTATTAATTTTTTGTTGATTATAATTGAGATAAGACTTTTTTATTCTTGAACAGATAGATTTTCTTTGCGCTTGAGTCCGCAAATTGGGGTTTCATTCTTCTGTTTTCCTCGGGATGTAAAGGAAAGAGAATTGCTAGGGATTGAAAAAGAAGGGCAAAAACCCCTCGATCGGAAAGTTGGACTAGAGAGACACGAAGAAACCGCTGATAGGTGAGCGATAATGGACATGATGAACTCCGCCGGCGGCGGCGGAGGTGGTGGAGTGATGGGATATGCGGATTCGGTGGACTCTTCACCGCGGTCTCGCGGCGGCGAGTCCTGGGACGAACCGTTCCCCTCCTCGGCTGCGGCCTCAAAACTCCGATTGATGTGTAGTTATGGAGGGCGGATTGTGCCGCGGCCTACGGATAGATCGCTGTGCTACCTCGGTGGAGATACGCGGATCGTGGTGGTGGAGCGGCACACCACCCTCGCCGATCTCTCCGCTAAACTGTCCCGGAATCTCCTCGGTGGCCAGAACTTCACCCTCAAGTACCAGCTTCCTAATGAAGACCTTGACTCCCTTATCTCCGTTACCACCGACGAGGACCTTGACAACATGATCGACGAGTACGATCGCATCGTTGCATCCTCGTCTGCCGGCAGCGGATCCGGTTCTTCCCGCTCATCCCGCCTCCGGCTGTTCCTCTTTCCCTCCAAACTAGAGTCGGCACCGTCGTCGATTGGGTCGCTGCTGGATGATTCTAAGTCAGAGAATTGGTTTGTTGATGCCCTAAACGGCGCCATCGGCATGGATGGCCTCCCTCGCGGCCTCTCCGCAGACTCTTCCTCCGTCAACTGCCTCCTCGGCCTCGAAGACGACTCCTCCGTAAAATCCCGCTCGGGAATCTCTGCCTCAGCTGCAGCGTCTGGGGGCGCCGGGCAGCCAGAGCATGAGCAGCTACTTCCTCGGCCAGACTCTTCTGGCAAGCTTACTCGCCAAGATATTCACTCCGTGCCGGATTCCCCCATGGTCGATACTACTTCCTCCTTCGGTTCGACGTCCTCAGCTCCTTACCTCTCGAATCTACCCCCGATCCGTGTCCGCCCCGATGATCGCCCTCCGGAACAGCGAGTAAGTGGCTTGGAAGACCACTTCTCACAGATGAACATCTCGGCAGCCGCCGCCATGGCGGCGGCATCTGCTCCAGGGCAGAGGTTGTCAGACGAGGGCGGCTTCAGGGAACAGAACTTCGCTTACCAGCAAGTCCATCCTCTCGCAAACCCAGTATCCACCTCCTCAATCTCCCCGTCTGAAAACCCTAATCGCAGAAATTTCTCTTCGGATGAGGAGAAGCCTGACCAAGTTGCCATCAACAAACCACAGCCACCGCAGCTGCAACAGCAGCAGCAGCAGCAGCAGCAGCAGCAGCAGCCGCCGCTGCCTCTTCAACAAAAGCCCACCCCCTTGGATTCAGCTCCTTTGGAACCCATCGCCAGGTATGCACTTCTTCTCCTGCTTAAGATCCATTCAACAGATCAAAACCTAGTTTATTGTTTCCTTTTTGCTATTTATTAATCTTCATTTCTTCTACAAACAGGCCGGTATATTACCCTGATAGGGTTTCTGCCAATACCACCGGCGTGAACCACCCCATTCCTGATCCCAAACGCGACGTTCCCATCTCCAGCTACGTTCTTACCTCCATGCCACCTGCTGAGCAACAATTCCGGCAGCATCCCTCTCATATTCAACAGTTTCATCAGCAGCAACAGCAGCAGCAGCAGCAGCAACAACAACAACAACAACAGCAACCACAGTTTATTCAAGCAAACCCTAATCCCCAATATATCCACCACCCTGCCACCGGCACTGTCCTCCCATACCCAACTTACTACCAAATGCCCATCCAACAATCCCAGCAATCCCATCCCTTTGATCAGCAGCAGTTTCCTGTTTACTACCTCCCAGTCCGCCAGAATCCCCCACCGCAACAAACTTACAACATGCCTATCGCCACCTCTCATCCAGATGTCTCCACTCAGGCAAAGCCAGCTGCAGCCACCACCTTCTCAAAGCAAATCCCTGCTAAACCTGAAATGCAGGCAAATCTATACAGAATGGCTGCCATGGCACCGCCACAGCCAAACAATGCCTCGGCTCAGCCGCAGCTTCAGCCGCTCATCCATCTGGCCTCTGATCAGGGTCATCCATATTCTGGTGTGGGCTATCATGTTATGCACCACCACCATCATCCATCTCAACAGCAGCCTGCCACCGCCGCCGCCACTGCAGTAGCAGCTAATTATGGTTATGAATTCCCTGCAGATGCCACTGGCATTCCTCAAGTTTACTTTACTCAGACGACCTCTCCGCCAGGAATGGCTCAGCCACAGTATCAGACTGTGGTAACCTCCCCCGATGCCGCCGCCGCTGCTGCAGCTGCTTCCACGCTTCAGCCTGGCGAGGTTAAGCAGACAAGAGCTTCATGATGTAAGTAATAAGTATTTTGAGAAACTGAAACTCTGATCTGGCTTTGATGTTATTGGATTGTGTTTGCTTAATATATGTTGTGTATTGTTATTATTTCATGTTTTAGTATGTTGTTGTAGGAATAAGAGGTATTGAATGTCCTATGTCTCTTCTGTTTGTGGTTGTTTGGTGAGCCCCCTATGTGCTGCCCTGCTTCTGAAGGAGAAACTTTTGTTATGAGTTTTTTGGTATCTATAAATAAGCATATTACATAATGTTGTCCACAAGTGATCATATTACAGAATGTTGGCTGCATAAGCTGATATTATTCTTACTTTTTTAAGAATGATTAATGATTATGTTTGCTATGCCTCGGCTATCATTTTTCCTGAAGAAATTCAAATTGAATAGCATAAAATTCTTTGATTATTCCACCCACTGTAGCATTGAGGTTTCGTTTGGGACGGCTTTCTTTCTGCTTCTTAAAGCAGCTTTCTAGTATAGAAATTAGAATTAATTTTTTGTATCACAAAGCTGCTTTAAGAAAAACAGTAAGAATGCGGTCCCAAACAAAACCTAGATGTTAATTCTCAAACTAATTTTTTTTTCAATTAATTGGCCTAAGGAATGTAAGCCCACCTCTCTTGTCTGACCATGCCAATTATGGGACTAAGGCTTCGTTTAAGATGATTTTTTTTATTGCTTCTTAAAAAAGTTTTTTAGTTCAAAATTTTTTATTTTTGTACTAAAAAGTTGCTTTAAGAAACAGTAAGAAAGCTGTCCCAAACAAACAATAAATTCAAGAAATTCACATTCTTCTTGTTTTTAAATGTGAAAACCGTAGCTCAAGTGCATTGAAATTTAAGATGAAATGAGCTATCAAAATAGATACAATTGAGATCAATAGCTCAACATAAGATATTAAAAACAAGAGCAACAGCAGCAAAAAAAAGATCCCAAAACATTAAAAATACTTAGAAGAGGAATGGTGGTAGGGCTTAGAACATGCTATAGTTTCTGAAAAGAGTCCACAAGACTCATTCACAACTGGGCAACTAAAGTATGCATCTGTAATATAGAGATCACGTGAGCCCACAAACACAATTGGTTGAGCTATCATCGTTGTCTTTTGCCCACCAAAAATTGAGCCAATGGATAAAATCCCATCATATGTGTATCCAATCCAACTTGTAAAAGTAGGGAGCCGATTCTGCGTTGGGCCCATTGAAAAACCAGAAATATGCCAAAATGTTTAGCAAACAAGAGGCAAAATAAACCTACTAAAAAGGAAAATGTGCTAATATTAAGGCTTCGGTTGGGACGATTTTCTTACTGCTTCTTAAAGTGATTTTTTACTAAAAAATTTTAATTTTTTACTAAAAAATTGTTTCTTAAAGTCATCTTGGTTTTTTTTTTTTCCATTTATCACTTAAGATGGTCATTTAAGATGGAGGCAAGTGGATTAGAGCTTCATATTCTATGCAGCCTCTCATACTTTTTAGCCAAAGATTGTAACTACAGTGATAATCATAAAGTACAACCTCTTTCTTATAAATAGGATCAAATTTGTAGTAGAGGAACTTGGAAAAGATAGTTTTTCCCATTCTATTGAAGTTTCTTGATCTTGTTCACTGCAGGAGGGCGCCCAAAGAATGGGTGACTATGGCTTTCTATGGCTAGATTGCAAAATAAATAGATGTCATCAGTATCAATGGCATTGCTAAGTAAGTAAATCATCAATTTTAACACCTCTAATACGCCTATGATAAATTTGAAATCTGATCATAAAGTTCACTACTTTATTTTTTTGATTGTTAGCTAAGTCTCTTTAAGACAATCCAACCTAGAGACAATTCTCTTAAGTCATGTCTTATTTATATTTGATTGGTCTAAATTTTATTAAATTTATTGATTCATCGACCCGGATCAAATCATGAACTCTTATTTTTTATCAAATTACCTTCTTTAGATCAAGAATAAGGAAGAAATTATTCTGCGCGGAGTTTGGACGGGAAAATTTGTCCGGATTATGAGTGTACGCACTACTGTGTACAAATAGTTTGTACACTGATTTGATATACAGTGTACAAATATGTAAACAATATATACATTCACATGTCTGGATAGTTTTCTTCTTCTACGGACCACGCACTGAACAATTTCTATAAAAAAAGGAGCATTTTTAGCACTAGAAAAAGGTGAATGAGTTCTTACCATTGAAAAACAATTTGTCACGAGCTTTATAGAGAGAAACCTAGTTCAGATTATCATTAAAGCTCGTGCGAAATGGTGGCAAAAGGCAAAATACAAACATGTTAACATTGAGGACATTAATAGAATGATTAAATTGGTGATTATTCTCGCCAAAAATTTCTCTCAAAGATTTGTTATTAAATAAAAAACCATGAAAGACTGGAGATAAAATGCTCATCCTTAATAGAAGAAGAGATCCAACAAAGCATTTGAGAAATATAAATAGAGGCATGTCTTTCTCCTTGATTTTACGCACTTAATTTTAGCCTTTATGCTAAATTAAAATGAATTATAAAATTTAATTTTATCATGCAATCTTAAAGTTCGTAATTTTTTTTTTCTAATTTTCTACATTAATTCTAATCTTTTATACTACATAAAATTTTGATTTAGCCATCATTGCTAAATCTAAATGATCAAACCCAAAGTAACCTTGCTTATAACTACCAAATTCAGTTACTACTCCATTAGGGAACTGATGCCATGAAATATCTCCAAGGAAGCATTCTCATTTACCAAAAACTATTCAATCTCCATTGGAAAAAAAATGTTGGTACAAATGAGTAGTGAGTAGTCGCATAAATTAAGTGTAAAAACTAAAAAAATAAAAAGTAGTTTAAAATATGAATTTTTGAATTTCTGTTTGAACTATTGTGCTTCGGCGATGTGCTTGTGAGCACTACATCGTTAGGTTTTAGAGCACAGTGGCGCAAAAAACCGTCGATGTGGCATTTAAGTCTTTGTTTCTATAGTAATTCTGCATGTAACGCTATGAAGCTGCATCTAAGCGTTGCGACCATTTCACCCCACCTCCTCATTTTATATCGTGGATTGCTCAAGAAGAAGAATATGGAAAGAGTGAGGAAGAAGGGAGGGAAGAGAGAGAAAGGTCTTTGGGTGATTTTCATCTAGCTTTTCTTTTACAAAAAATATTATATTCTTTGTAATTAACTATCCTCTTGCTTCTATTATCATTGATTTTAATTTCTAGGGATTTTATCACTCCTATATATATCAAAAATGTATTACATCCTAATTTCATAAGCTTTAACTGTGTAACTTTTGATATTTTATAAATTTGATCATTCTGAATTATTTTATATGATTTTAATGCATATTTACTGGTTAGAAACGTGTATATGAATATTTATATGAAATGAGTAGGAAAAATATATACTAAAAATGAGTTAAAAGTGATGTATTGTGATTTGATATGATGGATATGACTGATATGTACTGGAAGGTGACAATGATATGCCTGAAGGGATGCATTGAATTGATTTGATTGAAAGGATGAATTGATCGATATTAGATATATGAAATGACAACCTTCACGTAATAACTTTAAGATTCACTGATTCATTGATGGGAGTCATAAGCAGCTAGAGACTGATTGAGAGTTATAAAGAATAGGAGCAATTGATCATGTGATTCAAGGAGAGTTATAAGAAGTATATTGATTGAGAGACATAAAGGGAAATTGATTGGGAGACATAAATATAGGAGCAAGATACTCTCAAGATGCCTTCATTTGAATATATGATAGAATATTAATTAATAATTATTGATACTAATTATTACTTATTACTAATTATTAAATATAGATACTGATTACTATTACTATTTATTGTTAATGAATACGGATGTTGATACTAGTGTATAACTAAGTCTGACGAGAATGATTGAATAATATGGCTGAATGAAATTTATTGAATGATAAAGACATAATGATTGACTGATTGACTTAACGAGATGTGATGTATATTAGAACTGATCAATTGACCTTGATGATCGATGCAAATATCATATTGATGCATTGACTTCCTTATAGGATTTACATAATATTATTTCTCTTTTGTCTTGCATTGATTTAAATTGCAACATTTTAGTTATATAGTGGGCTTTATGCTCATTATGTGATTTTTATATATTTATAGAAAAAGATAAGGACCCTATTACATGAGTCATTGATGACATATATAATTTTCTTTCTACACTACTAGTTTAGTCGTCTTTTAGTTCATCTGATTTATGTATATTTTTTGTAGCTTATGAAGGTTATTGTATATATTATTTTTGGCCCTAGAGACAATGTAAATATTGATTACTACAATAACATGAATTTTTTTTGTTATTTTTTTATTTTCTATAATACATTAATAAGCTCTCTATATCATATTGAACTGGTTGTTAATTGAAAGATAAAAGAAATATAATGAGAGGAAAATATAATAAAGGGAAAGAAAAAAAAATTTCAATATAGATCACAAAGTGTGATAAAGTGGTATTTGAGCAATGGTTAGTGGAATAATTTACTTGTGACCAAAGCTGTATTCATGATTGCATTATTTATTAATTAAAACCTTTTTTTTTTGAAAATTTGTTTTGTAGTTGTTTATTTTGTTTAAAAAGATTTGTTTTGAATTTAAAATTTATTTTGATCAGGCAAATGAACCCAAAAGGAAAGAAATCTGAATATGATACTTGTTGCGTGCTAGAATATACGTGGCGATAGAGTTGTAATTTTACATCTTAGCGTTGCACGGATATCCAGCTCACACACAGAGAATACATGATTTTTTATATGGAAAACTTTAAAAAGGGAAAAAACCATAGGGCCTAGCCCAGTTGAAAATATATCTTTATAATTTGAGTTGAGTACAGTTGGCTGACTCGTCTTGAGAGCGATCAAATTACAAATGTAAATTGTATGGTTGAAGTCTAGTGTTAAATATGGGGTCACTTGAAAGTTGGGGCGTCAATTAGTAGTCTGACAATGACTTGACAGAACTCTGATGTCAGTTGATGGTCTGACGGAGTTTAGGACTTCAAGTAGTGTTCTGGTGGAGTTCAAACCCTTAGGTGGTGGTCTAGTGAAGGCAAGAGCCTTAGGTGGTGGTCCGGCGAAGGCGATGGCCTCAAGCGGTGGTCCGGTGAGGGTGAGGGCATCAGGTGTGGTCCGACGAAGGTGAGGACCTCAAGTGGTGTTCCAACAAATGTGAGGACCTCAAGTGGTGGTCCAGCGAAGGTGAATGCCTCAAGTGGTGGTTCGACGAAGGCAAGGGCCTCAAGTGGTGGTCCGGCGGAGTAACGACGTCAGGCGGTGGTCCGGCGGAACTCAGGCGGTGGTCGAGGAGGAGCTTCTTCTTTCTCTTCCTTCTCTTCTCTTATTCTCTTCTTGTTTGGGTCCCCTTTCAAGATAAATGAGGGGTCTATTTATAGATTTCTGGAGTGACATGACCCATAAATAGGTGAGAGATTATGGGTAAATGGGGAGTGGTTGGATGGATGACCGATGTTGAATCCCTTAATCATAGACCATTTGATGGACATTTGAATGTCTTAGTGATGTCTGAATTTGGTGATCTTAGGCTCGTTGGATTTGTCACGTCGAGCCACTCGATTCGACTATAAGCATGTTATGTTTGGAAACTGTTAATTAATCCAATTTGTGGTTCGAAACTTCCAATAGCGCTTCTAACCCTTGATTTGTACCCGTTTGGGCTCGGATTGGGTTGCATTTGGTGTCGTTGGGTTCATATTCTTGAGACGCTCAGTTCGATTATAAGTTTGCTAAAATCGGAGTTTGGATGGTCCCAATTTTAATTTCGGAAGTTTCCAACTTGATTTTGCATCGAGATTCATGCCCAATCAAGATAATTTTTTGATGACATATCAATACTGAAGTCTTTTCAGTGACATATAAAAACATGAAAATATGCTGATATGATTGCTCAAATTGTAAGTGCTAAATTGACCAAATAGTTTGGACATAGCTACAAGAAGATAGGTGAAAGTAGTAAGAAAATGAAATGCATGAATATTGTTAAAGCATATACCATACTAAAATATATCTGGTGTGGGAGGAGACGTGGGATCGTGTTATGTGATAATATTTTGGGTGTAGTGATTATGGACACCGAATGTCATAATGTCCATTGCCTGGACAAATTGGAAGTAGATAGCTAAAACCAGTAAAAGAGGTTCCAAAAGCATATGAAGATATGACTGATATGATTTTTATGTTATTTTATAAGTTACAAGTTAGTTTTCAGATAAATTTGAATTGATTTGAACACGATCTTTGATGAAATTGATTGAATAATAAAAACATAATGATTGATTAACTGATAGAACAAGATATGATGTGTACTAGAACTGATCAATTGACATATGTGACCAATATATATATAACATATATTGATGCATCGGCTTTCTTATATATTTTACAGCATATTATTCCTCTTTAGTTATTTGTTGAGATTTATGCTCATTATGTGGTTTTTATATATTTATAGGAAAGAATAAGAACATTGTGGCATGAGGTCCTGGATGACATTCATAATTTTCTTTTTGCACTCCTAGTTTAGTTGTCTTTCAGTTCCTCTAGTTTATGTATATTTTTATAACCTCTAAAGACATTGTACATATTATTTTGGACACCAAGGATAGAATGCAAATATTCATTACTACAGTATTGTGAATTCTATTTTTTGTTATTTATTTATTTTATGTAATGAAATTAATCAGTACTAGATGTCAAATTGATCTGGTTATTAACGGAAAGATAAAATAAATAGAATGAGTGAAAAATATAATAAAAGGAAAGAAAATAAATTCTTCCACTATAGATTCTGGGTGTGACATTAAGGCTTCGTTTGGGACGGCTTTTTTATTGCTTTCTAAAACAGTGTTTTATTACAATTTTTTTTATTTTTGTACTAAAACTCCGTTTTAAAAAGCGTCAAAAAAGCAGTCCCAAACGAAGCCTAAGTATGATATGCACAGCTGAACCCATTGCCTTAATTTGGCTATAAAATAGGTTTAACGTTATCGAAACTCAAAATTAAAAATATTTGGCATAAAGTTAATGGATGAATATTTCCAATATAAGTAAACCTTTTCCTTTTGGCCTAATATGGCCAATCTGAAACATGTTCTGTGAATAATAATTTTAACTTTTAAAATATAGTATATAATAAATTAAGTTGTTCATTCTCTTTTGTGTTAACATATACTACTTAAATAACTTAATAGTAAGGGCATCTCCAACCGAACTCCAAACGCTTGAATGGCGTTCCTCGCCCGCTCCAGCCGAACGGCAAAACCTTCGCTATTTGGTTGCGGGTGAACAGTGGGATGCCAATATTGGCGTTGCACTGTTCATCTCCGCCTGTTTTATGTGTCTATCAAACTTGCAGCGCGGAAGAAGAGACGACCGTTACTTGCGAAAGGGAGAAAAATGGAGTTCGATTGGAGATTAATCACGACATTTTGGAGTGAAAAATGAGATTTTCGGTTGGAGATGCTCTTACCGAGTACTATTTTATTTCATATTTTCTCTATTTTACTTTGATTTTCTTAACATATTATTTTAAACAAGAATATTTAGTTTTTTTCTTACTTCAAGATACAAATCTATAATATTATATGATAATTTTTTCTTCAATTAAACTAATAAATTTTATATTTCATTCACACTTTTAGAATTCAAATAGGGATGTAAATGAGTCGAGCCAAATTTTAGTCACTCATAGCTTGATCTTAATTAATTAATTGAGTTTGAGTTCGAATTTGAGCTTAATTGTATGAGTTCATGCTAACTTATTTATAACAAAAGAGAGAGAATGATTATGAAATAATTATTATAATAAAATAAAAAAGAATAATGAATAATTTGATACTAGAAAGAGATATATAATTTTTAAAAATTTATTAAAACTTAATACTTAAACTTAGGGGTGTCAATATTTGACACGACACGACAACCTGACCCGGACCCGACCCGGAAAATCCGGGTTGGACCCGACCCGTTTGATAAACGGGTCGGGTTCGGGTTGGCAGATTTGACCCGTTTGATAAAACGGGTCGGGTCGGGTTGACCCGGCGGGTTGCCGGGTCAACCCGAAAACCCATTTAATTTAAAGCCCACTAAACTTAGGTTTTATTTGGGACAATTTTCTCGCTGCTTATCGAAGCAATTTTTTAATATAAAAAATTTAATTTTTTTACTATAAAGCTGTTTTAAGAAGCATCCTGAAAGCCCTCTCAAAAGGAATTTTTATTGTGTCGAGCACTTTAATGACGTGACATTTTGTTATTGTTTTTCGAATGAGCCTTATTATGGATTGTCGGTGGCCCACTACTCATTAGTAACAGCCCAAAGAACAGCCCGAGGTCCATGTCACTTGCAAAACTTTCATCGGCTTCACCGCCAGAAATTCAAAAAGGAGTAATGAAAACCTAGACTCATAGAGCTGAATCCCTAAGGAATGCACGGGAAATGAGCAGGATTGCCGTCGCCGGCGGCATGAAGGAAGGGGGTTTTACCGTCTTTGATGTCACACCCCACAAGGTTGCCATCTGCCACCTGATCCAGCTCTTTGCTCCGCCGTCGCAGCAGACCGTTCCTTTCCCCTTCGAGTCCATTTCCCAGCACAATCGCATCGGCCTCTTCATTTTCTCCCTCACCAAGGCTTGCAATGATTTTGTCGAACCCTCTCTGGTGGATTTGATAAACCAATTGAAGGCAGTAGGGGATTCAGTCAATGTTTGGTTATGTGATCATTTGATGAGCAGTCTCTTAGAGCTATCTTCGCCCGATGATTTGTTTAATTTTTTTGAGAAATTGAGAGGTGTTGTTTCTACCCCTGATGGTGGGCATATGGAAGATGACCTAATATTTTTGGATCCTAACAGTCACCTGGGGTTGTTCTTGCGTTGTTGTATACTTTCTTTCAATCTGTTGACATTTGAAGGTGTCTGCCATCTTTTGACCAGTATATCCACCTATTGCAACTCAGGTGATCCTAGTTATGAGCTACAAGAAGATCTTGATGAATCAGAGTTTCACGAGTTGCTGGAGGGTGCTGAACCATACGACGGAATTGATGTCTTTCAAAAGTGCAGGCATGGTGTTCGAGATGCTTCCAACGGGGAGAGCTCAAAATCACATATTCGCTTACCTAGATTGGTTTGTCACCCCCACCCAAGAAATGATATCCAAGTACCGTCTGATTCTTGGTTCGAAGGCACGGACGGTGTTGCTCAGTGCAATGAATTTGGTTCTTCCGTGATGAACAACTTAAGAGGTGATGATCACCAAGGGTTCTTGCGGACCAGGTGGCAAGTGGAAGGATATCTTAACATGCAAGCTGATTTACTTGAGAAGGATTCTGGCTCTTTTCCTTTAAATTCATTCGGAGCTGTTCTAAAACAACTACATAAGCTATCCCCAGACCTGCATCGAGTTGAGTACTTACAATATTTGAACAGTCTCTTCCATAACGATTATCTAGCTGCTTTGGAAAACCTACACAGTTACTTTGATTACAGTGCAGGAAATGAAGGGGTTTTTAATCGTTCATCTGCATCACCATCTGATATTTATGTTGGACGGTATCAGACTGCATTATTGTGCTTAGGCACCATGCACTGTTATTTTGGACATTCCAAGAAGGCTTTGGAAGCTTTAACTGAAGCTGTGAGATTCTCTCAATTGAGCAATGACGATGCCTGTCTAGCTTATACATTGGCAGCCATTTGTAATATGTTGTCAGATGTTGGCATTTCAAGCACAGCAGGAATTTTGGGTTCTCAAGATTCACTTGAAACCAGTATGAGTCTGGGTGCTCCCCTGTCTACGCAACAACAATTACTTGTTCTTCTAAATAGATCTATGAAAAGGGCTGATAGTCTGAAGCTGATAAGTCTTATGGCCTTTAATCGCCTTGCTTTATCGAAGTTTGAGCTCAAGCATGTTAGAAGATCTTTGCTATATTTTGGCCCTAAGAGTTCCACAACGCTTAGAACATGCCCCGTGACTGTTTGCAAAGAATTAAGACTGTGTTCGCATGTTTTGAGTGAATTTGAATATGATGGGCTATCACAGCCAAATGATGATGGAGCTTTCAGCACCTCCTGGATAAAAAATCTTGCAGCTTCTTGCAGTCCCTCGTTTGAGAATATAAGAAAATTGAAGAGTTCATCTGTAAATGATTTTGACTTATTCCACTTTGATGCACAACCAAATCCAATTCCTGGGTCTGTTCTACAATTGGCTGGTTCATCATATTTGTTAAGAGCTGCTTCATGGGAGCTATATGGAAGTGCTCCACTTGTCAGACTAAATGCATTGGTTTATGCAACGTGCTTTGCTAATGGTGCAAGCTCGGCGGATTTATCTTTAGCTTATGTGAAGCTGATACAACATTTGGCGATATTTAAAGGATTTAAAGAAGCTTTTGTAGCTCTGAAGCTTGTTGAAAAGAAGTTCTCACCAGTGCCAAATTCACGAATTCGACTTCTCAAGCTGCAGTTACTCCATGAGCGTGCTTTACATAGAGGACAATTGAAAATCGCTCAACAGATGTGTCATGAAATTGGGGTGCTGGCCTCCTCTACTAGTGGAGTGGACATGGATCTTAAAACAGAGAAGAACTTGCGGCATGGTCGGACTTTGCTTGCAGCTAACCAGTATAGTAAGGCTGCAGCTGTGGCAAATTCCCTATTCTGCTTGTGCTATAAATTTAACATGCAAGTTGAGAATGCCAGTGTTCTTCTATTACTTGCTGAGATACACAAGAAATCGGGCAATACAGTTCTCGCTCTCCAATATGTATTAGCAAGTGTGTCATTTTGCCAAGCCTTTAACTTGGATCTACTCGAAGCATCTGCTACGTTGACTCTCGTGGAGTTATGGTTATCTCTGGGATCAAACCATGCAAAGAGAGGATTGAGCCTTTTGCATAAAGTACTTCCTATGATTCTTGGCCATGGAGGATTGCAGCTGCGTGCAAGGGCAAATATTACGTTGGCCAAATGCCTCTTATCTGATCCAACCTTTTTAATTTCCAAGGATCCTGATATGGTGTTGGATCCCCTAAATCAAGCTGCCGAGGAGCTTCAGATTCTAGAGTATCATGAAATGGCTGCAGAGGCATTTTATTTGATTGCTATGATCTACAACCATCTTGGACAACTGGAAGCAAGGGAGGAAGCAGCAAGTTCGTTCAGAAAACACATCACTGCTCTTGAGAATCCACAAGTGGAGGAAGATCCATTTCCTTATGACGTTTAAGGAGAAGTCATCCAATCGGTCTCCTTGCGGTTTTAGTAGCTTTCTGACAAATGTGGAGATCTGAAGATAAAGTTATTCGAAGTTCTTACCATTCAAGTAGTTTAACTTCCTTTACAAATTTTCTTTATTTATTTTTTGTTATGTATGTATGGATATATATATATATATATATTATAGCTAAGGTAAAAGATGATAGATCTTGAAATTTAGATTAAGTTAGAATTATTAGAAGTGAATATAACAAGATCCTTCATACATTAAAGAGTGTTAGAAATGGTATTTTGAGTAGTTTTTACATGAGAGTTTAGGAAGAAATTATTTTAGAAGTGAATAATGAACAAAAGAATGAGGTACAATCTACATTGATAAAAGAAAGTGAAGTAGAATTAGCTCTAAAGTAGATGTATAAAAGAAAAAAAAGGTCTAGATGAGATATTTATTGATAATTGAGATTTATAATAAATTTAATAATTATTTGATTAGTAAATTTTGAAGACTTAGAGGATACAAATTAATTGGAGATGATTCATTTTGTTAAAAATTTGATGGAATAATGCACACAATTAGGATTGTGGTAATTATATTGGAATCAAACTTACAAGTCCTTTACTGATGTCATGTGAAAGAGTAATGAAATATTGATTTAGAAAAATTACATTGATTTAGGTGAATTCAATTTAATTTCATGACAAGAAGGTCCATTGTGGAAGTATTTTATATCTTAAGACAATTATTGAAAAATATATATAGAGCAAATAATTGGCATTTAAATGATTTATATTTATCTTGAGAAATGCTTATTAAGGAAAAAAATGTTATTTATTGTAGGGCTGTGAAAAGCAGTTGTGGAGTGCATAAAGTGTTAACAATTATAATTGGATTACTTTAAGGATAAACATTCTATCCTTATGTTGTTATAGTAGTTATTGAGATGCTTTATATGGTATTAAAAATAAGGTACATTGGCGTTATACTTTTTGCAAATAACATAATTCTTTTCGGTGATAAATCTATTGAAATAAATGAACAATTAAAATAATGGAGAAATGCTTAGAAGATAAAGTTTAAAATTATTAGAATATGGATTAGTTATATGATATGTAGTTATAGTGGGTATGATATTAACAATTATTAGTTGCTATCATTAGAATATTAGTAATACCCTAGTGTGATAGATTCAAGCATCTTGGATATCCATAAGAATTGAGATAAAATTGAGGATACAAGTTCTAAAGTTAAGCTTAATAATTAAAATGAAGAAGCGCTACAGGAGTGTTTTTAACAAGAGGATATCATGGAGTCTTAATGATAAATTTAATAAAATTATAATTAAGCGAGCTATTTTATATAGATTGGTGTTTAGTAGTGAAAATTATTGATAATTACATTGAACATTATAGAAATGAGAATGTTAAGATGGATATTTGGCAAAATTATTGAGGATAAAAAGTGACTATATTAAATGAACAGTTGGAGTAGCTTCCTTGAAGATAAGGTGATTAAAAATAGTTTAAGGTGATTTGGATATGTTCAATAACATGTAGAAAATGCAACGGGAGACAAAACCAACAGTCATCCATCACCATTCCAACACCAATCAATGTCGACATTTGTCGCCATCCATCACCGAACATTAATCATTGATCAATATTGACACATTCTGTAACCACCACTCAAATTCATTTGTTGATCAAATCTTGTTCTTGCCCATCTCTTGACTTTTGATGGTTTTTGTTGACCATTACTTGTCACTTACTAATGAATGTCCATCAATTGCTGGGGTTCGATGTCGTTATTACTAATTACCTAGACTCCTATCTATAAGGAGAATGATTGAGTTCACTATCCACCATCACCTGACCATTAACATTCCTCTTCAACCATCACTCTATGTCTGCCATCGCCTATGAGTATTTTTTTTATTAACCATTGATGTCTAACATTTGTTTTAGAGGTCATCCAATCTCCCATCTTATCAAAAGAATGATCGAGCGACCATACAACATTGCTTGATTCCCAATGTTTCTAATCAACTATCAACGACATAAATCATCACCCACACCACTCAAAGCTGACCGTCATCCAACACCATCCCTTGATCATCAACGATCAATGTAAAAACACCCATCGTCATCATTTCCTGACACCATTGACCAACCTTGATGCATTTTATCGCCATTACTCAAACCTCATCTATTGAGCAATATGGATGCCCTTTGTAGCCCGACTCTAACATACCTTGTTGACCTTCGCCTAACACTTACCAATGAATGCCCATCAACAACTGAAGTTCGATGCTAATTTTATTGGTTGTCTAGACTTCCCTCTTATAAGGAAAATGATTGAACTAACTACTCATCATCACCTAACTCTCAACATTCCTCGTCAGCCATCACCCACAATCATTGTCTAATGTTTGTTAGCCACAAACATTTGAAGATTGTTTTACAGGAGATCAGGTCTCCCCTCTTTTAGGAGGATGATTAAGTCGACCGTCCAACATTGCTCAACTCCCAACATTACTGGTAATTTATCAATGAGGTTTGCCAATGACTAATGCTTGACTATTACTTGACGCCTAGTAAGGACTAATGTTTGACGCCCGTCTTGCCTCTTGCACAACCTTTCTTTCTTGCAAGAGAACGATTGAATCGAACAACCGTTGTTGCCTAACTTTTAATCTTTCTCATTGATTGCCACCCAACGCTTGCCAAAATTTGGTGTTTGTCACTCATCAACATTCATCTTTTTGATTACTTAGTCTCCTCTCTTATCAGGAGAACAATTGAGCAGGGCTCTAACCATCTCTTGGGCCCCATCGTTCCTAGTTGATCTTCATCTGATACCTTTATTGACCCACTTCCATTAGCCTTCATTATGTCCAATGCATGCCATCTCGATTGTCTAGTTTCCAACAAAGCTGACCTCCCATCATCGCCTGATGATAACTTAAACATCTAAAGACTCCTACTTCCACCACATAAGATATCTTTCATATTATATATCAACTATATTATATTAATGCATTTTCTAGTTAAGGGAATGACATCCCTTATAATATTTGTCTTGGGAGTAGAATTTTTTCAATTGAGTTATGCCTTGTGATTATTTCACTTCCTACATTTTCAACACAAAATCCTGTGTCTCTTATATACTTTGGACTCTTCATCTGTGTATTGAACTTTTGATCAACACTAAAACGATAAAGTTTTCCTCTACTTATATGAGAAAGAGGATTGCTCAAATTATTTAAGATAATTTCTATTAATTCTCAAATGATTTTTGCATATTTTTAATCCAATTTGTATATTGTTCCTTCCTAAATGTAATCCTTATATTATGGTTAACCAATATTTGAAATTATGTAATCGGGTTTTGTGGCATTTTCTTTCTGTGAGGTGAGATATAATGATATGAAATAATAAGTAATAATAATAAAATGAAAGATATCAAAGTAAGATCATAATATAGTCATACAAGGCTACAAACACTGAATAATTTCTCTCTTGCTCCTAATTTAATGTAAGCAAGTAATCATAGATCATAATTTATCAATTCAAGTGTGTTTAGTCCCATAACTTATAGGGTCTTAATTTGAATCATCATTATAGTTAATTGATTTATCTTATTCTTTATCCTCAATTATGTCAACATCCTCATAGTATTTTCTACGATCTCAACTATTTTCCTCTTTCCTAATGAGTAAAAATTAATAAGAAAATCAATTAAAATTTAAAACAATGAGTATATTAATGGTTCTAAATTTTATTCTACCATTTTCTGTTACTTTCTTGTTGACTTGTATTGGTTTTGTTTTTTCCTGTATCAAAGAAGTCAATATTGACATGTTCCTCTTGTAGTTGTGATGGTGTAAATTCATTTTTATCTTTCATAAAGCATTCATCATTCAATGACACATCTGATGTAGGCAGGGGGGGGGGAGTCAAATCAAAACATAGATTTGGTGGACTTTGGGTTGCTTGTTGCCTCTCGTTTTGGGCCTTGGCTGCTTCGGTTTTGAGCTGATTTTTTTGAGAACTAAGTGGTTCTAGCTCATAAATGTTGAGCTGTGACTTCAGCTCATTATATTGGTTAGGTCTCCTACTTTTTAGCTCATTATGAAGAGTGAATGTGGTTCTTCTCCCCTTCTCTGTGGCCCTTCGGTTTCCCCCACTTGGCTCCTTTTTCCCGTGGCTGGTTCCTTCCCCTTTGCTGGCTGTCCGTCCAGATCCCCTTGTGGTTCCTAGGTGCTGTCTCGGTTTCCCCTTGTGCTGCTGTCCAGGTTCTCTGCTTTGGCCCCTTCAGTTTCCCTATTTTGATGGTTGTACCGTGGCATTTATTGGGCTGTTTTGGACTGGCTTTTGGCCTTCCATTTCCTGTTTTTAATTAAGATATTTAATATGTTTAATGGCTGTTTGGCTGCCCTCTTTTCTCTTATAAATTAGAGATGTTTTGAAGCATTAGGAGGTGGATATAATGTGAATTTTGGAGCAAAAAAACTGAGGTTTTTCTCTTTATTGGAAAAGCTTGCGAGCTTGTTCCACCTCTTCATCTTCCTCTAGGCAAGCTTGCGAGCTTGTCCTTTCTTCGTCTTGGCCCCTTTCTTCTCTCCGCAAGTGGCGACGGCATCTGTATCTTTCTTCTCAAGCAATGAAGAGCCCCTTTAGGTGTTTTATGTTTGTCAAGAGTTGTAAGTTGTTTGTTTTTATCTTATAAGTTTGTAAGAGTCTTTCATTTAAAAAAATTGCTGTATTTTGTCTATTTTGGGGTATTTTATGTATCTTCTTTTATCTAGGAAGTCTTAGTTTTTGCTTGCAAAAATTTGGGGCTTTTCCCAAATTTTTGCTTGCATCAACATCATTATTAACTGAAGGATTTCATCATCCTAAAAACTTTTTTTCTCAAATGCCTATCTTTAATGCTTGTTGTATATGGTATAAATCTAAGGGCTCATCGTTAAGGTAGTTAAGTAATTTCTTCTCTTGATATAAACTTGATTATTAATTTAGCCAAATTTTGCTCTACCTTGCTGACGAACAAATAAGACCCAATAATTTGATTGCAAATCTTTGTTATTCAGGAATATCATCTCCAAA